GATGAGAACGGCAAGGTGGTGCGAGGTCCTGCCCCGCTCTCCTTGGCACTCGCGCACACCACCACCCAGGATGGCAAGTTGGCCCTCACCCCATGGCCCGAGAAGGACTTCCGCACCGACCTGGACCCCTGGTGGAAGGTGTAAACATGTTCCGGCAAGGCGCATATCAGTCCCGACCTGACTGTGCACTTTGCGCAATGAGTCGCAGCACACAAGATTGTGCTGTGATGCTCGTCCCAGCAAGCAGCATCTCCACGGAGCACATGGGCACACACGTAGTGTGCACTGCTGCATGTATAGATGGAGCTAGAGTGGAACTGGAACACACCGCAATTTTTCCGATTCTCCGCAAGGGTGATCTATCCTGTTCTACAGTGCATGCGGCCTCGGTCATACTCTGACATCGCATCGATAGTTCTCGTTTAAAGGGGGAATCATGAGTACTGGTCTCGACGTTTCACGATGAGGGGATGCTGCAGTGCACGAGACTGGAAGCAACAGAGAGTGTCGTTCAGTGCAGTTCGAGGGCAACCTGCAGTTCGAAGCCATGATCTCATGCAATGCTGTCAAATGCGGCCACCATCCAGACCCCGGTTTGATGCACAGCATTCCACAGGGCCAGCGGCCAAAGCATTGCTCAGGTTGAGCCAGACATACTGCGCTCGGCGAGTGAGGCGGTAGGGCAACCTAGCGCGTGATCGGAAACGCCCTGCAACAGCGGATTCCGCTGCTCTCCGCTGCGTGTGAGAGCGCCAGTGATTTCAGGATGTTGTGGCCGAGCTCGAGCCGAGGGACAGCTTCGGTGAGTTGCAGGGCACCGAGTGAGCACTATGACACATAGAAAGAAGACTACGGACTCTTGTTGGAGCAGTGCACCTCTCAGGTCTTTGATTTACAACACCTTCCGCGAGGTATTCTGGCGGCTGTTCGCCTGAATGTCTCCAAGATGGCGCTTGCGACTGTGCAGGCGACCTTCAAGGCAGTGGAAGATTCCGAGGCCGCAGCTGTCGCTCTCCTTGTTGGACAGCCAACTAGCAGGGGGGGGGGGCGACTTTGTATGGCAAGCGACCGACGTGACTTGGAGAGAGAAAGAGCTTGGCTAGGCAAGTTGCCTTGTTCACTGATGAAGCCACCTGCAGGTCTACGTAATTTCTCGGAAGTCAGAGACCTGGACATCTGTGCAGCATGCAGCTGATGACAACGGCACTTATGTAGGCTTTGTGCATCGTTGGCATCCTTGCTGGCATGGCACCTTTTGGAGTCAAGTTGCCGCTGCAAGCGGTGTGTGTGTGTGTGTGTGTAGAACTGAGATGCCGGCCGGCCTGGCTCGGTGTAGAGCCTTCTGCCCGTACGACCCTGTTAGCCTAGTCACGGCAAGTGGTATCAGACTGTTGATGAGGCATTTCAAAGCTCATTTCAATCGGCGCGGGCCTCGATTCAAGGACATCGCTTCAGTGGTGCACAGCAGGCACTTGCACGTCTCAAAACGCAGAGCTTGCTGGGGCTTTGCAGGATTATTGCGCGTTGCTCGACGAGGCGTTCACAAGTTGCCGTAAGATCCACAGGTTCGTAACGTGGGAAATGCACATCCTGACGCGATGTGCCATAGCGGACAGTGGCATTGAACCTTGCATAAAGAACTGTTCTATCGGTCCACGATTGCCGGAACATGTGAATGACCGTCTGTCGCAGGTGCCTGCTCTTTGGCCTCTGCTCCGTGCAGAACGTGTCTTGGTCACACTTCAGCTTGTGCGTAGTGGGCTCCTGCGCCATCAAGACCGGTTGGATGTGAGCTGGAGCTGAAATAAGCCGCATGTTGCAGCATTTGGGCTCAGCAGCTCTGATCGACGCACCGAACTTTGCTTTGATCAAATGGCATTCAAAGCATTGTCCATTGGACTTGTGGTGCTCTTGCCGGCCACTGGTGCCCCGGTAAACGCGAGCTGCATGATCGAAAACGAGGATCAGTTGCAAACTTGCGGGAAGGAGTGTTTGCACAGTGCTGCCCGTGGATCCTGTGTGACTGGTTGCTTGCAGCGCCTGACCCTGCCGCTGTTTTGCGCTGAATGCCTGGGAACGAAGTTTGACTGTGGTGTGCAGTTCTGCAAATCGGACTGCGTCGCATCGACGCAGTCGTGTTCCTCCTGCATCGACTCCTTGTGCACGGCCTGCAGCCAGGCACTCGACAGGTCCATGCTCAAGCTGATTGCGGTGCATGCAGAAAGCGGGATCCAACCGGCCAACTCCTTGCCGGTCTGGCATTCAGAGGAACAGCCTAGTATCCTACCATGAGTGATGGGCGCAGATTATGTTTTAAATGCATGGACTGCATGGAATGTAACATTGCACAGCATTAATTACTCTCTCGAGAGAGCATGCTTGTTTCGACAAATTGGTATACGATCTTGCCGCATATGGCAGTGTGACACCCATGTAAAGACATGAGTGCTTAGTGTTGAAGAGCTCAGCCCAATTGCCGTTTCTGCTGTACAGGCGTGCCCGCCATTGGCTCCACTTGCGTGTTCCGATTGCAATGTCTGCCGCGTGGGCGTGCGGGGCGTAGCCGCCCTCACCAAAAGCCAGCAGTCTCGAAAAGCGCGGTAGCGGCTTTGGGCTAAACGTTTCTTCAGAATCTCATTCCGTTCCTGGAGAACGCGCCAGGCTGGGAGCTGGCGTGCAACGCGCTCGGCCTTTTTTCTTTCAGGCTCAGACGCTCCTGCTGTTTGTTTCGCACGCCGCATGACTTGCTTGGCACACTTAAGATCGTCTGCAAGGCCATGAGCTTAACATCACTTTTGGTAGGCCTGGTGAGCGGATCATCCATCAGGGGCTACAGCGGAAGGCCGAAGAGTCACAGTCTCCCCTGATGTCAGAAATTCCCTTCCTGCCAGTCGGCGCTTTGGTACATCGTCTTTTCAGGCAGCTGCGCCGGGATCCAAGTCCGAAGGCTTCCAAAGGGCCGGAGCGCAGACTGGGATTGGGATGGGGCGGTCTGTACTGGCGAGGTTGTGTCAGCCAGTCACACAGGGCCCGACGGGCAGGCAAGAACTTGTGCACCTGAGACATCGGAGGCGTTGACGGTTGAAGCCCGCTGAGTCATTGTGAATTTGCTGTGTGCAGGAGACCACGGAGGTGATCTCCACGCTCCGGCGGCCAGGCCGGGGCGGTCAAGTCCATGCAGTTATTCGAGCTGGAGCACTCTTTTCTTCAGGGCTTGTGCTTTTCAGACCGGCCTGTTGCAGCTGTCGTGTGGAGGCCACTTTGGCGAGCGCTCTCTTCTCCGAGGTGGTGAACATGCCATCCCAGAGGCCCAATTAAATGCTGCGAAGCTCCTGCGTGTACATGTTGCCTTGATGGAAGAGAGCATCATTCAACATGGTGATGCAAAGGTTAGCGTCGATGCCGGCAAGGAGGGCCTGGTGTGACGGAGCCTGAGCTCTCGCAAGATGTCTGACTGCAGCCAACGCTCAGATCCGCTGTCTAGCTCAGGTCTCGCCTTCGAGGGTCAGGCATGGTTCAAGTGGAAAGTGTCGTCGGTTCAATTCAATGACGACAGAACTGCCTCGTTGTTTTCTTATCCAAGAGCGAAGCCGAAGCCATGCCAATCCGGAAGCGTGAATTTGTGTCCTTGGGAGGCCATCCGCGTGTTGCTCGAAGAGCTTTCTATCCAAGGGGCTTTCGGGGACGGGGCGGAGGCTTGGACTGAGCTCATGGGATCCCGGCTCCTGTCAACTTCAGCAGGCACTGCTGCCCAACGTGAACAGCCTGAGCTCTACTGTCGGCGGCTGATATCAGCGGAGCTCCGTTGTCTTCGATGTGTCAAGCAGAATGATGGTGTGCCACCTCGCCAGCAGTCACTACTACCGAGGAGTACGAATTAGCCAAACTTGGGCGCATGCGCCGTCAGCGTGTCCAAACCGAGGACTGGGCAAAGTAGTCCAAGCAGAAAATATGGCTCTCACGAAATCCCGATTGCCACGAAGTCCCAAGTTTGTAGCTCAGATGTCACTCAGCATTCCATTTAATGGAGCCCGCGCAAGGAGATTGACATGATGAGCCTCAACAAGGCACAGTTTCAAGGGTCACCTGTCCGACTAAACACTTAATTATGAGAAGCTTACAACATCACGTAACAGGATATGACAAGACTGAATCACATACATGCAGGTGTGCCATCTGGGCCGCGGCGGCTTTGCCGACGTCTACTTGATGGAGGACAATGTGTCTCAAAAGAGGTGGGGCAGGGCGCATGAGGAACGGGAAGCGGCTTGCGGTGATCCCTGGATCAATATTGAACAACATCGTCTGCGCTGCAGCTTGCGCCATCAGCTATTCACAGCTTTATCGATGTTCTTCTGTAGTCGTAGTAGCCTTTTCAGCCACCATGAGTCATGTCATCATATCTTGTCCAACCTCTGTGAAGATGCGAAACCGTGTTGCCAGGTATGCGATGAAATGCATCTCAAAGGCTCCGAATGCTTTAGCTGTGGTAAAGGCACATGCAAAGTGACACTCGACCGGGGTGGAGGTCCGAGGAAATCGGACATAGACGCATACTGTTTTGTAGCATTCTAGTTTCTTCAACTTCACTCTTGGAAGGGGCATGTGGAGAAATTCGAGGCAGTGCGACAGGCTGGTCGGACTGCGAGTTCGGTGTGCTTTTTCCTGGCTATCTTGAGGATCTTTACCGTGCAAGTCCATGTGTAAGGAAAAACAAGTCTTTGAGAGTAAGCGAGAGCCTTTAGTCTTGCTCATGACTTGCTATTGCCAGCGCCGTCAGAGTTTGAAAGCTTCTGGATTACGAAGTTCGTGTTTCGTGCGGTGCCACACTGTGATTAACAGCTGGTCGAACTAGTGTGACAGGTCTGCTGGGAGCGAGAGATGCTGATGACGGCCCGATCTGGCTTGGTTCGGTTCGGTTTTGCTCGCTGTTCGGGGAGGTGTCGCTACATGCACCGCGCAACCCAAGAAGAAGATGAAGTTGGCAGGTTGACAGCCCCTTCGTGATTCGTTTGGTCCGCACGCACAAGGACGAGCCTCATATTTTGTTTGCCGCCACTATCCTGTCTAGTTGGGAAAGCCGTTGTCAAGAATCCTAAAATGATTCATGTTGGCTGCCAGGATGCTGAGTTCTTGTATATTTTGCTGGAGGCTGCCTGCGCAGACTTAGTTATTTAGGGTGCGTGATGAGGTCGTGTTGGCATGGTCATCGCATCTAAGAGGGAAGCATGCTGGCCCGTGCGGGGGGTGGCATCTGCCGGCCAGGCAGCGCTGGGAGGAACTCTCTACAAGGCGCGAAGCTGACGAAAGGGCTTTTTTTTTGTGACAGTTTGCAGGCGTGCACGATCACTTCGTTTTGTCAATTTGACCTGCCAGTTGATGAGACAGAAACCCGAGGCCTGTTCCCTGGCAGTGCCATGCCGTTCCAACGCTGTGTCACAGCAGTGTTGAAGAGTTTAACACAAGAGTCACACAGTCGGACGAGAGTATCCTCTGTGCTCAGGTGTTCTGTGACGATGAGCCGAGGGGCAGTTCATCAGCCTTCTTCGCCTGTAGCTCAGTCATGCTCAGTCACTGTCACAGATATCGGAAGGCTAGTTAATGCGAGTTGTGGAACTCGGCCTGTCCAGGTCGGCTGCATCATTGCAGCGCTCGAGCACTTGCATGACAGGCGAATTGTGACCTTCCTCTCTTTCTGGACTCTGCCGAGAGTCTCTGCAGGCGCATTGTGTACCGTGACCTGAAGCCCGAGAATGCCAACTGCCAAGCTCGGAATGTGCGCGCATTGACCAGGAAATATTACCCTGACTAGGTCCTGCTAGATGAGCACGGCTATGCGAAGCTTTGCGACATGGGGTGTGCTGCCTAGAGGAAGGGATTTATGTGACCGTCTGCGCCGCCGTCACAGACCAAGGTTTGCTCGTTTCGTCATTTCCAAAACGAATACGCTGGCGGGTACTCCCGAGTACATGGCTCCAGAGGCCGAGAGTTCAAAGCGGCGCGGCTAGAATTTTCAAGCGATTTTTTTCTCGGCTGAAGGTCATCGACTTCCCACATGCTCATGACGTGACCTGTGATTGGCTCGTTCCTTATGGGGCTGGTTTCATGCTGACATGTCCTGGGCCTGGTTCGGCCCTGTGGCAATGCCCATGGTCGTTCCGCATCTTCGCCCATGCAGCCTGTAGTCAGGCACGAGTCAGGGTGATGCCAGCTAAAAAATCAATCCATCCTGGACAGGAGCCGAAATTTGCATCAGGCAATGTAAGAAGCATGGAAAGATAAAGAGATCAAGCATCTAGATTGGCTTGCTGATGCCAGCAAGATGCTGGTTGTGAAGCAAGAGCAGACTCCCAACATTAATAAGCTGAGGTGGCTGAGCATTGGGCTCAGTTTGAGGTACATTATAAACTATTCCGATCTCACTGCATACATTCACACTCTATTCATTTCGACCTGGGCTTTGTAAGAAAGGCGATGAGTGAGGGCTCTAAAACTGAGCAGTCGAGCCCAGGTGGTCATTGGGCGTGCTAACCTTCGAGCTGAATGCTGGCCAGCCTCCCTGGGAGGCGACGGGATCTCCGCGTGTTTCCTTCCGTACTTGGATCTGCTAGAAGTGTGGCTTGTGGAGGACGAGGGCGTTGCCGACCTCTTCGGGAGCTGAGCTGCAAGTGTTAGCCTCCAGCGCAGTGCCATCTTTATACACGACGTGGTTGCTTGCCAAAGAGAAAATTCGCTCATTTGCGCTGGGAGGAAGTTGTTGGCCATCCGGCGCAGCCAGGAGCGCAGCAGTTGTGTTGCTGTTCTCCCAGCTCCCCATTGACGTGTGAGGAGAAGGGCGATCCTCGGTATCCCTTCAGCTGCTAAGTCCTCGGTCACCAGCTGGCGGACAGTGAGTGCAGTCTCTTGCCTGAACAGGTCCCCTGCCTGTGCGAAACTTCATCTCCAAGCTACTGTGCCTTCGATGCACCAGCTGCGATGGAAGCAACTGCTTCACACATTTGTCAGTGGTAAGGACGAAGCTCCCTCACCGTCTCGGTGCGCGCAAGGGTGCACGGGAACTACGGCCGGGGGCTCGCCTCTCCTGGACGAATGCAACTAGGTCATGCACCTATGTCTTTTGTGCAGCGCCCTGCCGAGGGAGCATTTCTTTTTCAAGAAATTGTCCTTCGACTTTCAGGTCCCGTGCCTGTGCTCTGTTCAAGGCGGTTTAAAGCTTTGTCGTCCAGTTAGGATCAGAGAGCTCCAGGCTTTGAAGGCCCAAACTCTGCCGCCACCTCTCGCACGGCCTTTCCAGCAGAGGCAGGTTGCGTTGGACCCAAGAAGCAAAGTGACTTTTCGACTTTTCTACTCAGGGAGTACGCAATGTGTGGCATGGAGGACCTCTCAGGCTGGCGGGCTCTTGTTTGCTCGTTGGACTTAAGTCATTCAGTCTGATTTAGGGCTGAGCCTTGTGTCAGATGTGTCCGTAGGCGAGCTCCTGAAAAACTCCGAGCTCTTCAAGCCTGTGCAAGGGGCTTGCATGCAACAAGCTCAGTCTGCGTTGTTTTGGCATGCTGAGCCGGCGATGCAGACGTGCCGCCGTGCAGCGCAGTCCTGTCAGGTGGGATGCAGACTTCTGATTGAATTCGCGGCTGTAAAGGTCCATCTCACCTGCAGATAGTTGGCCGCCGAGCATCCGACAGCCCCGAATCAATTCCAGCACGTGCGAACATGCTGAGGTCTGCACTTCTCTGCGAGTCGTTCCCTTCTCCAGGTGCCAGCTCTATGAGTTGTGAGATCACCCATAACAAACTAGCAATCTGACACTGCTGCCCTGATTCTGCTGAGGCCACTTCGGCTCTCTCTTCATCCCTCCGTTGGCAAGCTTCGACCATCAATACACCCTGGGCGGGGTCTTCGCAAACTGGAGACCTGCGGGTCGTGCTGCCCGTGCTGCCCGCTGCCCCATTGATGCCGGGTCGGACACGTATAGCTGTATAGATTCATGGGATCGTATTTCGATGTTGGTGGCAGTAAGAGGCAGCAAGTAGGAGCTTCCCAGCGAGACCGTGATGACAGCGTGGTGGAGCCGTCTGGGAAGCTGTTCCCCAGAGGGTGGGCAGAATGCCGGGGCATGGTTGCAATCAGTGTCACTACGCTAGCATTTAGAGGGTTTCGATGATGAAGACTGAAGGCTGATCTTGTGGTGGGTCTCGTCTAGCAAAACTGTAGGTCTCAATGCTGCAGTACTACGCAGGCCCCGGATCGTGCCTCTTCAGAGTTGCTTGTACAGACGCGGCCGACACTTGCCAGTGTCGTTGTCTCGAGAAGCTTGGTTTTCCGTACGTCTTCTGAAGGGCAACCTGTTGCGTCCCTCGGAAGACTGCTCCTCGGGAGTACAGACATTTTCAGCCACTGCCTGGTTACTGCCTCACTTTTCAACAGTCATGTGACAGTCTTTTGATATCGGCACCTTCACTTTCGTTTTATTTTTGCAGCCTTGGCAGTGGCTTGGCAAATTGTCTTTGTGTGGCTATGTGGAGCAGCAGCGACAGATGCCTTTTGAGTTTTTTGATAGCCTCACAGAGACTTGCATGGCCTTTTGCATGTTCTGGAGTGTTTGGGCGAACTTCCATTGCCCAGACGCTGGTACGAATCCTGGTCCCCCAGCTTTCTGGAGTGCCAGACGGCCGCAGCTCCCCAGACACTATCCGGTTCTTTTACACCTGTGGGAGATCTACTTGCGTAGATGGCAATCTTGCTTCTTTCCCTTTCCGGTGTGAGGTTTTCCTGGAAGCGCATTAGCGAAGCCGAGTGAACATCTTGATAGGCAGAGGATGAAAAGAGACTTGACTACAAGTCCAGTGGCGCTTCCTCTGCCTCTGACCGGTTAAACTAGCTTCCCGACCTGTGGGTCAGCCACGTGGTCGCATCCTTTTTGTCCTAGGCCTAGCCAGACGCCAGACCCACATGTGGTCCAGGAGCGCGGAGCTCCGAGCGGAACAGTCCAAGGCATGCCAAGGCCCATGGGGGTCCCGCCAAGTCTCCTATTCAGTCCTGCCAAGTCCTCAATCGAACCCGACTGACCCGACTATTACAACGGGTTCCGCAACCCGTCTTCTCGGGCAACGCTCGTGGAACGCTTTCGCCAGTGGTTGGGCGGCAGCGAATCATACGAGTGCAAAGATAACGTCTTTGGCACTGGTTCCAATTGCGGTCAGAGCTGCAAGCTGCCCTTTTGAGGGCCTTTGTGTAGCCGCTGCAAGATCACCAAGAGTGTGCCTATAAATCCTATGAGCTTTTGTGAAATGAGCAGAGCGTACGCCTAGTGCATTGATCTCACAGTGGCGCCCAAAGAGCGAAGCCTGTCGGACGGTGCTACACACAGGATTGTGAAGATATGTTTCTGCGCAGGCCTCGCTTGATGTTCCTTCCCCGTGCAATTCCGATACGTTCGAAACGGGGATTTGTTGCTGGAGGCTCCTGCGCCATCCGAGATGCTGACATATCAGCGAATCGCGATCCATGCAGGGGCCGGCGACATGCAAGCGCCGAGCTGCGACGCCGTGACGCGGAAACCATCCCGTGTCTTTGCTGTGGAGCAAAAAGTTGGAGCGGGTCGGTCGCCGACGCGGCCGACACCGTGGAGACTCCGTGGAGGCCGGGAAAAGGTTGTGTGTTTGCTATAGCTTTCGGCTGCTGCAGACGCCACTCTGAGAGGCTCCTGCGCTTGCCAGTGGGGCCTTTGCACCAAAAGGCCCGTCCACAGGGTCTCTTCTGCGCAGAGCAAGCAGAGCTTTTTGGGGAGCAGCGTTCAGTGCAAAGAGCTAGTGGCCAACGAAGAAGGCTTGTTAGGCTTGTTGCATGCCCGTGCACATCTGCACTCAGCTTCGTTCCTTGGGGACTCCACTGTGGACCACCTGAAACATCTGCAGGGTGACAGTGTGGACCCGAAGCCCTTCTAGTCAACCTGCAAAGCTTCTCCTTGACCCACGGCTTTTGCCCATCTTTTCAGGTCGAAGCCCCTCGAAGCCAGCGGAGCCGCGGTGTGAAGCCGATGCTGGGAGATGGCGGAAGGGTGCGGCCAGAGTCCGCTACTACTGTATGCAATTATTTTACGTCAAGAGCAACATCTTCTATGCCTTCTGTCACGCAAAGATAGAATATGCCCGTTGCCTCCCCGGACAGCTGAAGGGCTTGCAACGTGTCTATCCGGGAATGTGTAGATGGGAAATGCCCCAGCCACGGTGTGCTTTTAGGCAATATACCTAATATACCAGCTTATGTTTACAGCACACGGACACACGTAGATCCTGAATTGAACTCCATCCATGAAATGCTGTTGTTGGGCTGTCGTGGAGCATGTCTTATTTGCTCCTTTTCCTGTCCCGTCTTTATCAACGCAGTGCTGTGAGGCAGTGGAGTACGTTTTTCCCACTTCTTCACATTCCCGAGCCCATCAGCTTCTGCCAGATCCAGCGATGGCACAACAAAAAGCATGCTTTTGCAGTAGAGGGACTTGGAGATGATCCCACACGTTCCGGTCTTGCAGTCTTGCACCGTTGCAGCGGGGTTTTCTCTGAGCCACGTTTAGTCAGTTTAATGTGCTGCTCTCTTCTCTGCCGCAGAAGCGATGCAAGGCAGATGCAGCCAAAGATTGACCAGGGCAAACGGAGATTTGTCACTTGCCAAACTGCCAAACCAGTGAGCAGGTTCCAGCCTCACATTTTGCGACCATCGGATCCCAGACGTCATTCGACACCCGTGGCCATAGTGCCATAGCGGCAATCACCTAGGACTCTAGAACCCATCAGCGATTGTTGTTTCAGCCACATGGCCAGTGGCGATGGCGGGGCAGAAGATCTGCCCGCTGAGGCAGGCTTTCGAGATCGGTTCGTGGGCGAAGCTCTGCCGACCGTAGGATAGAACTCTCGTTCTTGTGGACCTTCGCACGTCGGATGTTTAGGAATCCTTCTCGCAAAGGTCTTGACCCGATGGGCCAAGCATCAGAAGCCCTGCGTGTCGCTACGATCATTTTGGTCAGTCGTGCCATGGTGTCTCTCCGTTTGTTTTGTGACCACGTCCTTATGCAAAGTGGTAGTGCGCTCATTACCTACCCGTCATATGCCCGCGAAGGCCGCAGATGCTGAGGAGTTGGAGTTGTTCGGGTCAGAGGAGGAGGCCGTCCGGCCGGTTGCATGCGTTCGAGGCATTCGCAGGATGTTCACTGTTACGCACGTCTCCTGCAGGCGGACAAGGACGCGAAGGAGCTCTTCGGCGATGACGACGAAGGCCGATTTCAAGCTAGTGCAGCTAGTGCCGTTCGGGGTACTGTAGGAGCCTGTAAGTGGGCAGGAGAATTTCAAGTCAGTACTCCTTGGACGCAAGACTCACCTGCAAACAGCGCCCAGGTGAAGAATTTGAGCTTTTCGGCTCCGAGGAGGAGCCCGAGGCGGCGGAGCAGCAGGCCCGGCCATCGGGTCCGTGCACAGTCGGTTGTCAGCCACTTGTCATGTCTCATGCTTTAGCTGCTGATGACGCCCAAGAGTGGACAAGCGCCTGGAGCCAACTGCTGCCTGCCAACATCCCGCCAGGCTCCCTCAGCGGGCCCTTCTGCACCTGCCACACAGGTGGGAGTGCAGTCGGTTGCAGTGAGGTGGAACGACCTGGGAGAGAAGTGCAATGCCAGTGATGAGATGCCGGCAGTAGAACTGCTGTCATCCTGCCCCTTCTTGCTTGAAGGCTCAGCCTCCGTCGGTGATCAGCGAGCTAGCACCCTCGCTGCGGTTGTGGTCAGACAGCAGGTTACCTTCGTAGGTTCACGAATCCAAGTGAGTTTGGCCTTGTGATGCTGGCGGCTTGGGCTTGTCTGCGTACATGCCCAAGCTCCCAGTCGCAAGTTGCCACTGACCACCTACAGGATTTTCTGCAGAATCCTTTTTGATCGTGTAGGTTTCGTGCAGCCATGGAGCGACCGAGGACGAGAAGGACATCTTCGGTGACTTCTCAGATGATGAGCCGGAGAAGGAGCTAGCTTTTCCAAAATAGTTTCTGCCATGTTGCAGAGAAGTCGGAGTTGGGTGAGACATGTGTAGTACATGAGATTATGCGGGGCCTAGCGCTCTGCCATCCGTTCTGCAGCTTAGGAGCTTAGCATTGACGTGACCGAGCGCATGATGCCAGCTGCCGACAAGGCGCCTGCTTGATGCAAAACATCATAGCACAACATGCTCTCAATCGCTTGGACTCGTTTTTGAGGACCTCATCAGCATTCGCCTGCCAAACATGTTGTCTTTCGATGACGCCCAGTACCGCCCGGAGCCAAATGGAGCCATGGGTGACTTGTTCGAGTTTGCTCTGGATCTGAGCACAGCCCTCCTTTTATCCTGTGCATGTGCTGATGGAATGGGCTCGGTCCATGCAGTGTTTCTGTCTGAGTTGGAATGGAATCCATCACAGACACGCTGATGGAGGGGTACAAAGAGCCGAAGCCCCAGTGCCAGACAAGCTGTTGAGATCTTGCGTGCTCTCACGAGCCCTTCACGACTGCTTAGCCAGGTACAAGAACACAAGGGGGCAAAATGCTGCACACTTACCACTTAGCCCAGTGAGCGTTACTGCTCGTGGTCGGCATCTTCGATAGTAGGCTTCGATGGCGAGTTGGACCGCAGCCTGCGTGCATGCTGGAAAGTCATCCCTTTCATGTAGACATTCATATGCACTCAGCCGTGAAGCGTGAAAGTCTTTGCACCTCCAAGGTTGTCAGCCTGCAAAACCCCGAGAACTGTGTACGATGGCGATTGGAGCAGGACGGAGCCGCCCACCCGTACGGTACTGCAACGAAGACCAGCAATGTGATGAATGCCAAGTACAGCAGACATCAAGTAGACATGCAAGGCAGTAAAAGCCCTACTGGAAGACGGCAAGATACGGCGAGATGCAGAAAACTGAACAAGATCTAATGGACAGAAGTTGCAAGAGCGACATCTCAAAACGAGGATGAATATGGCAACAATGTGTTGGACTCTACGGGGCGGCCCGTTCACGAGCCAGGAGCTGATGTGGACGTGGATGATCGATATTTATGGTTTGCTTGCTTGTCAAGCTGAGATCCAACTGCCGGCTTGTGCAGTGGGAGGATGAGCCTGCTGCCTAGTCTGGTTTGTCAGGGTCCCTATGCCATGGCCCTCTCCCGATCTTTGCGACCATTGGCCGATGTAACTTGCAGTGGCCTTCTTGTGAGAGGAGCACGTGACTCGAACTTGCTATTTGGCTTGCCCACGCCTGCCAAGAACGTGGACACTCTTCGTGGGGGACGAGCCCTTTCACATAACGGAGGTCGCAGAAAGGCCGCGCTTTCTTGCATGGCTGGAGGGGTGGTCTTGCGATGTCCTCCGTTCACCTGGCCAGCAGACGTTTCAATTGTAGCATTCGCAGGAATCCCATCTTCGAGGTAAACAGCCAGGACGTTTATGTCTGCCACGGAGCCATCTCCAACAAGCAAGACACTCAGCCTAGTCGCCAGATCCCACATCGCAAAAAAGCATTTCGTATACCTAATCCAATAGCGAACAAGACGCCGATGCAGGCAGCCTGCTGTGGCAGAAGAGACGGCTAAAGAGCGACTCCAACATTGGGACCTGGCTGTTTTGCATGAAACGACGGCTGAGGTTTATCGCTACTCCGAGGTCTATGGAATCAGCATCCCACGACATGCACGACACTAAGTTTCTTCATCGGCTTTGCCTGCGGCCCACTCCATCCCAGCAGGAGTCCAAGCCATGTGTCCGTGCAGGCTGAAGAAGTCCCAGTACCGGAAGCACGAGCCCGTGCGGCGATCGCTTCTTATGACAGCCGAAGTCCCAGTGAGCAACCTGTGCGAACATGATCTCTGCCTTCGTGCTTCCCTATGTGTCACTGGTAGTGCTAAAGAAAAGCTGACAGTCTGATAGGAGAATGATGTGGGGACCACTGTCAGTGACGTTCTGTGGGGACCATCTAGCGGCTAGCGGCAACGAGGGTGGGAGCGCATGTGAGCGGGGTGGCGGGGTCTTGAAGTGCGGGGCGGATCTTGGGTTGGATTAGGAGCCTCTACGTACCCCGCAGCTCTGAAGTCTGTTTCAGCGACCTGCCAGGAGACCGAGACTGCGGAAGCAAGGCGGGGCCAGTGGGGCGGAAGGGTCGGCGGAACCGTGGCAATGTTTGACGGGACTGCCCTTGCACAGGCAGGTGCTGGACATGGAGCGTGAAAACCGCAAGCTTCGGGAAAGTCGTCAGAAGCAGCGTGGCCCAGTGTGCCACCGTGTCGCCTTGCTGGCCTGGTGCAATGGCTTCGGACAGGGTGTAGGTGCACGGCTGCCTAGGATATTCATTAAAAGGCCATGCCCTGGGTTGCGAAGTGAATTACGCTGTTTCTTTTGTGCAAAAGTTCACCCGGAGCATCCCAGCATCCTCGGCATCCCCTCCTAGCCCGAGGCGAGCACTGGGCGATGCCGCTTTGCCAGCCATGACGGTGCCTGCGATGCAATTTGTCGCTGCAAATACTGCGCGTTCTCTCACGGCTATTTATTTCAAGTCTTTGCAAGCGTTGTCTGCGGTCCTGCAGACAGAACTGCCAGAGGATTACATGACATGCCCTTAGGCTGGCTTCCTCGAGGATGTTGGCGGCCTCAGGTTGCAGGTTGATGGAATGACACGATTGTGACTTCAACTGCGGCCCCCTCAGGACCAGTCCGTTCATGGTCCCAGCATTGCGGACCTGAAGAGGCTTGCTGCCTACTGCATTGCTTCCGATGCAGCGGTGCGATGTCAGGCAGTACCGAGAGGAAGCAGGCCAACCCGCCCGGCTCCCAACACTCCAGCAGTGCTTGCCGATTGCCAGGCAACGTTGCATCGTGGTCCCGGAGCGAATAGCCAGCAAATTCCCTTCGAAGCCGATGAAAGAAGATAGTTCTATGGTGGGACGTCTTATGAAATGGTGTAAGTGTCAGAAACCCAGGTCGCACTTGGCGGCGCAGGCATTCAAATTCAGAACTCCGACCCTCTGTCGGGCGCAGGGTTCCTGGTGGTCTTGAGCCGACGACCGGCGAGACGTGACCGAACCGGGCGTCCTCGATCGACCTGGTGACTCCATGCCCGCGCTCGACGAGTCCAAGTTCGGCTCCCTAACAAAAATCGCCCTCGAGATGCACGTCGTGTGCAATCAGCTCCCACCGCTCTGCCCCCGCTGGTCGCGTGGCCAGGCCTGGTTGCCAACGCAAGCACGTCGGCCGCTCCAAGTTTGCTGCTCATGGAGCAAAGAGGCTGCACGGACGTGGTTTGGGAAGCAGCTGCCCAACCCTATTTGCATGGAGCCAGCTGCATCATCTTTTCCGATGACTGGTGCCTTGCTCTTGGGATTGCCCATTGGAGTCTGTGCGCCACAGTGCAGTCAGCACTACTACAATTTGACAGACTGCTGAGAAAAGAGCGGTTTAGAGGTCTCTTCACCCGCTTGGGTTGTGCGCAAACTACTCGCTGACTGACTGCACAGAAGCACGTCACCCAAATCTTTCATTCGGAGAGATCAGGACTGCTTTGTTTGTTTTCGTTCTGGTTCTGATTTCATTTCTTCTGTGCGCAAGCGGATGGTTGGAATATTTTTTTTTGCCGCCCTGCAAGGTTGACAATTGTAGTTGTTGGTCGAAGTGTTTTGCATGAGAGACGCAGCGATTGAATGAAACAAGACGCCATCTCCAGGGGCGACGCCTCTCCAGGGATGGACACGGGTCAAGGCCTCCGTCGACGAGGAGATGATGGTTCTCGGCGAGGCGGCCGCGACATCGCCTGCCATGTCGCGATTAAGCGGTTGTTGGATCTAGGTGCTTGGCAGTGCAAAAGTGCGCACCCCGGCAGCGGCACCGGTTTTCTTGGGAGGTGTGCTTGGCCGGGCGCAGCTCGCGCTTCGACCAAGAGGGCACTGCATCTGAGTAGATTTTGGCTAACTCGTCGATACCGGGAAGCTTGTTGTGTAGCGCACGTGTGCGTCTGCAACAAATCTATGCGTCGGCTGGGCATTTCTTGGTTCGACATGGTTCGACTGCTTTTCGAATTCCTGCCTTCGCCACCCTTTTTAGTGTCATTCTTCTTGCGACATGATGGCCAGCACCCGCCCAGCGACCGTTGACTCGGGGCGGACACAGAAGTGCACGCCCCAATGCCGGCACCGGTTTGCGTGGCGGTGTGCCCGGTTGTTGGGCGCGCAATCCACGCTTGGACCAAAAGGGCCTGCACCCTAACGCGCTGTTACCATGAGTTCGGTGGGTGCCTTCAGCTACGACCCCGGTACAAAAGGGCAGCGTGGGGGCTCTCATGAAGTATGATTCATATTGCTATCTTGTTGCGATTCTGTTTTTTTTCTCGTTGTTCTCTCTCCCCTATCTGTGTCTGTCGCTCGCTGTTTGCCTTTGCGTTGCGTCAGTCCACACGAATGTCACTCTCGGTCTGTGGAAAAGGGATGCTTTGGGGCGGGGGGCCACGCGGCCACACCCGCAAGGGGCTTTGTGGCTATCAATGACATGTGAGGCACGGGTGTGCTGCCGATACAAAATCCTGTACTCAGACTATGCACCAATACCTCTACATTACGCACACACCCACACACGGTACATTGCATCAGGGGGTTTGATTCCGCGGGTGAAAGAAATGCGTAGCTTCTGGAATAATGAAAGCCCTCGAGTCGCTGCAACATGCTACGACCTTTTTCCAAAACTGCCCCCACATATCGCCAGGTCCCTAGCATCACCCAGCGGCTATGCACCGTAACGCATCGTGACTTCTTTAGTCGCGGGTTGGTCCATGCTGAGCCGATGCGACCGAGGCCAAGCGGCCAAAACAGGACGAATCGCCTTCGCCTACCCGGTGAGTTGAACTGATTCAGCAAGCAGGAAAAGCCTTGGGAGAGTGGATGTCTTTTGGGTAGGCTAGTGTGCTGTCCGATTGCGTTACTGGCAGTCCGCTGACTTGGAGTCGTGCGTCTGTCTGCATCGACTCGTTTTCGCTGCCGTTTTCTTGCGGCTCGCAAATTGGGTCCGATAGACACAGATCCAGGCGAGGGCGTGCAAAATTGCTCTGACGCTTGTGGAGTGTGGACAGCGAGGGAGTTTCAGCCCTGTCCTGCGATCCTGCGAGAGCTCTTTCTCAGACCTGTTGGCAGGGTGCACCATGGGTGGCCTGCTATCAGGCCTGTCGGGCCCAGCAATTCCTTGCTAGGAGTGCCAGCTTCTTGCAGGCCCGTCGACACAGAAAGAGTCCGGAGATGGCAGGCTCAAGACTCAAGCTGCCGAGACGTTGACCAAAGATGCACTCCTTCCGCTATAGCATGTTGCAGCAGGTCCTTCCAGAATGGACTGGAATGGGGATTCAGCGCCATGCAGGGTTGGTTCCACTGGCATGCCGTTGAATATGCAACGGGATCTCTTCTTGATGATCGTCCGATCTAGTCATGGCCTGCCGTTGCACAGATGGCTAGGCGTGACCGAATGGAGGACGCGCACTTGGCCTCTTGGTACCAACAGCAAGCTTCAAACTTCCACTTCTGAAACACATAGACTTCTCAGGCCATCAGCTCACTGGGCTCCGCTGCAGTGTCGAGCAGTCCCACACCAAGCAACCAACCCCACAAAGCCATCACTAGCTCTGCTTGGGGTTGAAGGTGCCCGGTGGAGAGACTCCTCGCTGTTTGCGGTCATGGCCACTGTCTTGGCATTCTTCCGGTACGCCGCAATGCGGAGCTGGGACGATGGAGAGAGCAAAACCGAACTCCTGTTGCAAGCCAAGGACGGCCATGGAGGCGAACAGGTTGCCCAGCACGGGCTCCTAGGAAGTTGGTTTTGAGTTTGACTTTAGAGGGCTGGTAAAACGCTTCCGAGAGCCAGCTGCTGTTTGGAACTTGTAATATAAGGTTCTGCCGGTGCCACTTCCCTGAAGAGCTGGTGCTGCAGAACAGCCAGGCGCAAATCCCAGTAGTTGCTAAAAGGCTGAGGTGACCGGCAACACAAGTCCCACTACAGTAATGTATCTCCAGTGGATACGTAGTATGTACTGCTCGTTTCTACCCTGCTGCTGATGCTGCCGCTGCGGCTGCCGCTGCTGCTGCTGATGCTGCTGCACCGAGGACGACGGCGACGACGAGTACTGCTGAAATGCGTCGACAAGCAGAAACGCAACCACAAGTTCCTCTCACAAAAACATCGCGGGCTTTAGTGTCAGTGCCAGCAAGCACATGGAGTATCAATGACGGTAGCTATCAAGGTGCTGGCCGGAGAAGTCGTATCATAGCAGTCACTGGTAGGGTCACCTTCATTGCAGTTGTTGTCACCGCCATCATCATCAACATCATCATCTTCATCACCCTTATCACCATCATCACCATCATCATCATCATCGGCATCATTATGATCACCATCGTCATCATCATCATCATCATCAGCATCATCATCATCATCATCATCCTCACCACCCTGCTGCTCCTCCTCCTCCTCATCATCATCAGCATCATCATCAGCATCATCATCAGCATCATCATCATCACCTTCTTCTTCTTCTTCATCATCATCATCATCTCCATCATAATCATCATCACCTTCATCATCATCGTCATCATCATCATCATCATCATCATCACCTTCATCATCACCAGCACCATCATCATCATCATCATCATCATCATGACCACCATCAACACCACCACCATCATCATCATCACCGTCATCATCATCATCACCATCATCATCATCATCACCTTCATCATCACCAGCACCATCATCACCAGAAGTTGCTGCATCATCACCATCCGCCTTCCATCATCTATCCTCCACCACCCCTCTGCCAACGAGCACCATTCATCATGCATCATCCGCCATCATGATAGGTCTATGACATACCATCATATCTTCATACCATGAACATTACCAGTCATATGAGTCGCAACAACTGAAACATGCTGCTATCAATGTGTGCATAAGCGTTATCAGCTTCAGTAGAAACCGTTGCGTTTGGCAGGATACAGATGAGACTGAGAAGCATGCTCGTAATGAAATCCATAAACATCATGAGCACAGCCACGCATTGACGCAAAGGGCACAAAGGCCACAAAGGGTCGAAAATGGGTAGTATACAGGAACCTGAAGTGGAAACTCCGGCAGGATTGCAGCGGTGCGCTTATGCGGGCCTTCCACCGCATGGACTCAGCGGAATTGTCGGGGATGTTGTGGTCTATGATGGTTGTGGTTTCGTTTTCAGAGCTAGCTTCGGCCAACCTGCTTTGTGTAAACATCTTTGGTGGATAATCCAGAACCTTCGTTAGAACACCGATGACAGAAGCGAGGAGGATGCTAGTGAAGTACCGGCACATGTTGAGTTTCAGCGCTTTGTTTGGCGTTGCACTCGCAATGTCGACTTTGCTCTTCAACACTGCTGCGTTGGCTTCAAACTCCGGCTCCCACTGCTCCCGCAAATCATGTGAACTTCGCCAGTCTCAGTCGTAGATACGCTCATTGGCGTGTGAGCCGGCGCACCATGCTCGCAGCGAATCGCAGGCAGCAGTGCGTTGAGCGTCACAAGGACACCATGTTAATGGACCCCCACTGCCTGGACGAGCTGCAGAGCCTGGGTCGAAGCGTAGTCGTAACCTCAGAGACCTGGTATCACTTCTCGAAGGGCAATACCAGGCACGTCCATGGATGTTGATGGATTTTTTCAAGACGAGGCTTTCAAGTCTTGGGCCAACCCCGAAATCATGGGCTGCACTATGGTGGGAGCCCCAAGGAGGGAGGTGGGAGAAGGAACTGAGGGTTTGGTTTGTTGGCCAATTGCTGGAGTCGGCGTGCGCTCTCAGGTGGCGGCCGTGGTGCGGCCAGATGCTATCTTCGTGGCAAACGCTGGAGATAGTCGAGCTGCACTTTGCCTCGCAAACTTAGACCTCGCATGTTCGCCACTCTTCCGGACGATTGCCAAGGTACTTTGCAGACGAGGAAAGGCAATAGACATGTCGCAAACTCGGTGCATCCGATGAATCTGGGAATCGTTATTCGCAGCCCCAGACCACGCCCCACTACAACTCCAGCGTGGCATCTGCAACATTGAACTGCGTTCCGAAGTGTTCCTGTAGCAGCTGGCAACGACTGAGGTCAGAAGACCACAAGCCCAACAGTCCCACGGAGTTGTCGCGGGTGCTGCGGGCAGACGGCTCAGCCGAGCCGACCCGTACTGGCCGATTGAATGCTTCCGCTGTTAAGGCTGGGGGCACTGTGATGCAGCAACATGTGGGCAACCACGTGCACTACAGTCAGGGTCTTTGGCTATCGGATATCGGCTTTTGCGGATTGTATGTTTTACTTCTTTGCCATGCCAGCGTCGCCTTAAGGAATCAATGGCAATCTCAATCTCTCTCGCTCCATCGGCGATTTACTGTGCGCCGTGGGATTGCTTGAAGACAGACCTGAGCAGCTATGATGTTCAGGATCAGGTAAACACAGAACCCAATATACACACTACCGTAGAGCGGCGTCGGGGTCCTCTTTAGCAGTTCAGTTCCGCGGTAGGCCGTTCCAGGTACAAGCAGAACGCCTCCCTGTCCGCAGAGGTCATTGCCCGTTCCTGTTTTGGTGATGTTCACTTCATACATGTGATTTATCTTCAAATCAAGCGACACACGGGTCGTCTTTGGATTCCACGAAGACTTGCGAGCTTCTGATTATGCTCTGGATTTTGCAGGTTTGTGGAGGCTTCTCATCATGAGGTGAACATCATCGTATTCCGACTTTTTTGTGATCGCAGGAGCAAGTTATCACTTGCCATCCAGATGTCCGATGCTTCAACCGCCAGGCACCTTCTCCACAACCCATGTGCGTCGGCATAACCGGTAGACGTGAGTGACACATGGGCAGGCAGATGACGAGTTTATGATCCTGGCTTGCGACGGTGTGCCAGTGGCTCAGTGCCCGGCGCCCACCATCCACCACAGCTCTTTTCGTAAACGTAGGTGGGACGTCCTCAGCAGCCAGGACAGGGATGTGGACCCTTGTCATCGCTCCCTCTCCCTGCCTTCCTCTTGTCTCCTCGCTTGGCGGTGCTCAAAACGTATCTTGAAGGAGGCAGTGGACTTTGTCCGCATGCGCCTGGGCAGCTTCGCAGACCTTGCCTTCCGGTTGCAGGCTGCCAGGGACCATTTCACTTGGGCTAAGAACAGTGGAGGCGTAGACAGCAGTCGTGGGATATCGCGGGTCGCCGGCCAGGAGGGGCGATTGCGTCTATCTGCCATTCTCGAGGACGGTCGCTTAGGCGGAGGGAGCCCTTACTTCAGCGCCGACCGTTGGCCTTGGCCTTGGGAGGAGATGTTAGATGCGTGTATCTCCCCCGACCTGGCACAGACGATGGGCATTGGAGGCTCGGGCCTCCGCCTCCGTCCCCCTCCTGCTCAGCTGTTCTCGAAGCACAGCTTCATGTCTTAGCGGCAGGCGACAATATGACGGCGCTGCTGGTGGTCTTTTCCGAGGGAGGGCGCCAGGCCGAAAGTGCTGTGGGTCTGAAGTTGGATGTTATCATGGTGGGCGGCCTTAGTCACAAGTTTCTGCCCGAAGATTCCTGCAGGCCAACTGGCTTGAAAGCACCTCTGTGTTGCCGACTCAGTCCCTGCCTTAAGACTCTTTGGCTCCGTTCCACACGGCTGTGATCACAACTGAATCTCACATGACCTGTCCCATTGCTAGACGGTTTTACTGAGGGTTGCGAAATAGCAACTGCGCTTATCCAGGCTCAGGCATGGACTTTTACGAAAAACCTGTGCATTCAGAACTCCGAGTGTGCCAGATCAATCACAAAAGCTAGCTCTTCGGGAGCTGGTGGAGTTGCCTTTAATCCAGGGGGCCAAAGGCTTTTTTGGGCCTTGAGTCCTGGTGAATCAGTTGACGGCGGCCGCGCGGGGTGGGAGGTCCTCCCCCCTCACGCTCTTGTGTTTTCATGTTCAGGCAGACGGCCCTGCTCTATCCCTCAACCGTATCATGGCCACAAGGCATGCCTGAATTGAGGTCCCTGCCTCCCGCCTTACCTGCTACTGTAACCACCGACATGAATACCAAGGCTTGATCATGTGAGGCAATCGCTCGGCAAAGGAGTTTAGCCCACAGTTGCATGGACAGTGTTTTACCTTCTTGGCGGTCAGTTGCCATGCGCTATATTGCAAAACAACTGTCAAAGTTCAGAGATGCCACCTGCTTGTTCCCGCTACATAAACGGCGAGTTTCTCTGCCTCCCTCGCCTTTCAATTGGCCTCACTTGGTCTTCCACGTGGTGACTTTCGACTTGGAAGCCGTGTCTGTGTCACTGAGTTTACTTCTGGCCTTTGGTGCCTTGAACTTGGCATCTTGGTGCCTTCAGTTCAGAACTTGTTTTTGTGCCTTCACTTGCCTCAACTTCTTGCCTTCATTTGATTTCACCTGGTGTTTACACTTGGTGTCTTCACTTGGTGCCTTCACTTGTATCTTCGCTTTGATTTCTTTCACTTGTGCCTTCCAGTGTGTTAGACTTCTGTCTTTAGCTTCCATAGCCTACTCTCGAGTTGACTCAAAGCAGCCGGCCGTCATTCAGGTCATGGATGTGTCCATACCGGTGACAAGGTCCACAGCGCAGTGAGCGCTGAAATCCTACCTATTCCACTGCTGAACACCGCTGCTGGAAGCCTCATCCCACTATCTTTTGGTTGTGGCGATGCAGAGCACACCCGCCTTATGATACGCATTCGAACATTTTGGTTCAATTGCCAGCTGCTGTGGCAATCTGTTTCACACTGTGAAGAAGGAGATGTTTCTTCGTCCGTGCATCTTCTGCCATGCACCAGGCTGGCATAGAAGTTATTCGTGGGAAGGTCCTGCCCCAGCATGTGTTAAGCTCGCGGGGCGCACACGGGGACCTTTGGTTTTGGCTATACTGGCTCTAGCGAAGTGGTGTTGGTGTGTGGGTGCCACTTTGCCATTGAAGGAGGTGGCTGTCACCTGGTTGCAAACCTGGGGCGAGTTTCAGGACTCCCACTCCGAGCAGGATGGAAGTCGCATGCTCGAGTCCTGCGGAGCCTTTCCGAGCAACGCTTCCCAGTGCAAAGCCCAGCGGAAGCGAAGAGTTTGCCGTTCGAGAAAAGCCCAGCTGGCAAGTGATTCCAGAGATCCGTCCAGAGCCGTAGCCGTAGCAGTTAGATTTTTAGCACAGTGTCGCACCGTTCCGCCATGGCTGAAGGGGCACAGGGGGAATGACAACATAGGTGACATATCGGCAATATACCCGACAAATCGAGAAAACGCGTCAGCCTGCCAGTTGGCCTATAGTTGCATGGAGTGCCAAAGAGTGCCAAAGAAACTGTTGGACCCCGGAAGCCAATCAGCCCCCCACACATCTATACTTTTACATTCTGGAGAACAGAGAATGTAGCTGGCGCCATGACTTTTGAAGACATCGAAGTGCCGCAGTTCTCGGAACAGAAGCCTATCGTTGTGGATGCTGCAGTGCCGGCAGCTCAGACGTCTTTGGATTCAGGAGTCGCGACCGACGGGCGCGAGCAACATCCCTGTCCTAGCCTGATTCCGAAACTGGAATCATATCGGAAATCGAGCAATGCACGATTGAATCGGGAGAAGGTGCGACTCTCCTAGTGAGGGAGGCAAGTGAAGAATACAGACAGAAGTCAGACGGGCTAACACGCACCCGGGTCCTAGCAGGGTTCGCGGTTCGCTATAGAGAGTCAGGACCTGCAAGTTTCGACTCCTGAGACAGAGCCTCAGGTGCCGAGCTAGCACTCTTGCAAGAGGCATCAAGTAGTAAGATGCAGGACGTCCTGTACTTCTGCTGGTTCTTGTATCGGCACTTTCGACACGAGGACAAGTCAATATGGAGCTACCAGGTACCGGAGGGCACACTGCAAGGTTGGACGAGAATCTAGACATGTTCGCCACACTGCATGAGAGGCAGCAGGCTTTCAACAATCGGTCACCTCGATGCTCATCTCGCCCGTCTCGTGAATCTCACCTATTTCCTTCATCTGGTCCGATAAATTGTCCAGCTTCAGGCGGAAGAACCCCGCAAAGTGGCGCGAACGGAACAAGAGGCTCGTGAATGCTCCCGGAGAGCGGTTGATCGATTTTCAAGTGACCCGGTTTTTGTGCGACTGCCAAGGCGAGCGCTGAGCCGCAAGGCTTCCCGGCCACCACAGGGTGGTGAGCATGCACGCTCCACGACAGAGCCCAGCTGGGAAGTCCAGCGGACGGTGCCTGCGCCGGAGGCCGGGGCAAGGCCTTCGCTGACGTTGATTTTTGAAAGCCACACTGTAGGAGACGGTGCCAGACCTGAAGAAGCAAGACTTCAAGAAACCGCAGGCCACATGATGTTTCGAGAAACTGTGTTGGGCATGGCAGCATCGGGTGGTGACATCTGCTGTGGGATTTCCGCAGGGCAAGTTTAGCAGTGATCCTTTTCGAAGGAAGTTTGCGAGGAGGCCCCCGAAGAGTCATGGAGCCAGAAGCCGCGACTCCGTTGCAGGGAGGATGGTAAGTGAACGGGAGTGTGCGGGCTTGGACTGCAGACTACTACTTGTAGCTCCTGGGCCCTTAGGGTGGTCAGAAATCCTTGACTCCCTTGAACACTGTCTCGTCACATCAGGCAAGGCAGGACCATGCCTGGGGGATACTACGTGCGGAGCCTGGAGGAAGTCCACTCGAGCACCATGCGTGCCCGGTACCCAGATATCTCAACACTTCGTTTCAACCGTGGGGCACGGCACACGCGCAGAGCTAGATCAGGTCTATCTGTCAAAGTTACGTTGCGTGGGCATCCGGCTTAGGAGGCCAGGCGACAGACGAAAGTTGCGAGGCCTTCAACGTTCGCCTCACCAAGCCCTACCAGCGCCCAGCGCGTGGAGCAGATGAGGACAGTCGCCCTGCAGAATCTCACATAGGAAGAGGCCTGCATGGCGGACGGCAGTTGTGGTGCATACACACGAGTGCGTGTAGCAACTAGCTTAGCGGGTCGGCCTGGGCAGAATTCAGGCTCGACCGCTTTACGCCTCTCATCGCCTGCTCATGGCAACCATTTGTCTGGGCGGCAGCCCACATCCCCGGTGCCGACGCACGATCCAACGTCGCGGGCGAACGCTTTCCACAAGCGCCCTCTCCGGTGGTGATTGTTCCGTTGCGACGGAAACGCTCTGCCCCGACGAGGCGCACTACCTCGGCTCGTCTACTGGCCGGCAGCCGAACCGCATGATCAGCATAAGTGCGACGTGTGCAAAGAGCCAAGTCGCCATTGAGCGTCTTTTTCGGGGGGGGGGGGGTGTCTCGGCAGCTCCTATACATCTTCGCCAACGGCTTTTCGGCGGTTTTTGCCGCTTGCGCCCCATGAGCGGCAAAGCTCGCCTTTTTGCGGGCGTTGATGTCCGACAGATTCGGCGTGGCCAGCGGCGCCAAAAGTGTCCTTCTGTCACCCCCTCCTTCTCGTTATCACCCTTCTCTCCCTTCTCGCGGTTCGTTTGCCGGCTCGAGGGCTCAAAGATCCGCTCCCCGCCCGTCGCCGTCTTATGCAGGGGCAAGTCCAGCGCGACCAGGCCCGGTCGCAAGGGCGCCTGCGACTTCAATCATCTTCGATCTCGCGAAGCATGAAGCATCTGCAGCCGTGCGACTCAGTCCCCAAGGCAGCCCATTGTGTTTGCTACGATCTCGGCGTGGTCAAAGGCAGAGCTCCTCAAGCCGTTCGCGGCCAGGATGGCGCTCATCTAAGTTCGGGTGATTACCAAGGCCATGTTGAGTGGGGGTCGGCATGCCACGAACTTTTTCTCTCCGAGCATCGCGTTCGAGGAGGCTTTGCGAAGCCTTACAGTAACAGTCCTGCTACGTTCTCGCTTGATTTCGCAACCCCAGGCCCAGCTACGAGAAATCGGCTGGTTGCACCCCCTGGTCACACAGAGCCCAGTGCGGGATGTTAGTTCCGACATAATCAGCAAAACACTGACGACGACCGTCGTGGCCGTTGGATCAGGTACAAAGCTGGGAAGCCGCAACACATGTTGTCAAACTCGTCAGCGTGCCGCTTGCGGATTCGGAAGAAAACTGCAAGCTGGTTTACGCATGCTTACGCCAGCGATACCGGCAATCACGGCAGGCCGCAGCGGACGGTCTGTTGATTGAAGCGCCTTCCTGCATCAAATTAACGTCGTGTGACCGAAGATGCTGGGTCAGCACTCGCTGACCACATCGCACGTTGACTCGACTAAAGGCGGAGCCTAAAGATACGCCGTGTGTCATTGTGTGTTGTTGTGATTGCAGAAGATAGTGTGGTTTCAGTACAGGAGGGCTTTGGCTTGGGTCCCAGGTGCTCCGGCTGTGACAGTTCTGAGCTCATGTCGGGCACGCCGGAGCAGGTAAACGGAGACAGTGAGACAGGCCCTGCACACCATAGCTGAAGGCCTTTTGCAAAAACAACTGCAACCAGCATGCGGAAGCTGAAAGGACAGTGAGCACTTTGCTAGTCGCCAGGATGAAGACGTTCCACCGCTTGAGCCTGAAGAGATGGGGGAGGTGAAGGCAGAGAGTTCGGAACTGTTGAGCCATCGGGGTTTCGAGCCCATCCGGACAGGCGCCGAGCCCAGGGCGCGCGGTGCGCGAGGCGGCAAAGCGCGCTCAGGCTTGGGCACTTTAAGTTCCTTCAACACATTTTGGTCAGTCGGTCGCTCCGCGAAATTTTGACATTTCACGAAACACGACGCTAAACACAAGTTCTCTTCTCACACAAGATCATGTCTGATCTTAAAAACTTTGTGGGATGATCTCAGGCCACCCAAAGGCATCAAACAACTGCCAAAAGCGGCCAGACACGGGTGGCTGTATTTCCGATCTCAAGGAACGTGCCTGGAGGCTAATTGTCACAATAGTTGCACGTAATTTCTGCGAAGAAAGATTGCCTGGCAGAGAAGGTTTTGTGGATTCCAAAATCTCGACCAAGCTTTGCGTGCACTAGCTTAATAGATGACTTCACACGGTATAAATATATATATATATATATACATGGACATGGATGTTCTATATCCATATCTATAGCTATATCTACATCTATATATGTATCTATATCTACATCTATATCTATATCTGTATGCCTATTTTTTCTATGTCTGCATCTGCATGCATATCTACATAGATGTACCCATATCTGTATTGTATTTGTATCTTTGTTTTTGTCTGTATGTACATATTTATATATATGTAACATGTATAGAGATTAAGTGCTGTACTGACTATCTTGTGTTTGATATAGGACGATGCAGTACATTCTGATACAGTGAGTATCACACGGTGGTACATACCGGGGTTTGTCTTGTCTGTAGTGTACACACTGGACAACCAAGCACTCACAGAGATATACGATGCAATGCATGATGAGAAGGTTATGTCTTTTACCGATACTGACAGATCCGTATATCGTGTCAAAGTAGGGGCATGGTTTCTGAGAAGATGGCAGTTCCTTCCGCGCCTTGAGCTTGACTTCAGGCGGCCGTGCGCGACGCTGAGAAACAGCGGCGCCAGGACGAGGAGGAAGAGCGTCGACGTGAGGCCGTTTGACCGTTTGGCCCCTGCAAAACTTGTGGGCTGAAACACAGGCACAGGCCAGGTGCGTGTATAGTCTGCAACAGGGGGGAATCAACAATTTAGCAATACCAGCCGAAAGTGGAGAGGGCATTGCCAATTCAGCCTTCTTAGTCCAGGCCGAGCGCCGCTTAGAGCGCAGACGCCTCGAGCTGAAAATTCGCCAGCGCCCGAGCCGAGGGTGCTTGGGGCGCTTTCCAGAACTCCAACTCCAGGCAAACTCAAAGAGGAGCAAGAGGCGCAGGAGTGCTTGGCATGTGGGAGCCCATCAGGTGCACGTCTGTCGAATTGCAGCTTTTGCCCTACCCTCGACAATAGTTTCAGAGAAGTGACTGGTTTCCATCCTCCTGCAGGTTCCGACCATGCTCAAGCCTCAAGTCATGAGTGCTGCTTCCTGTCCTCGAAGGAGCAAGCTCGGCAGAAGGGAAAAGAAGTGCAGCGGCAGCTAGAAGAGCAGGAGGTGCGGCACTGGAACATGGCAGCCATCATGCCTGCCATGCCATGTCCGCCTCTTCCCAGCTCAGGCAAATGAGCGCTGTGCTGCTCGAAAAGGCGAGCCCAGCGAGACAGGACCCGACACGATCCATACGAACTTGAAGTTCCCGCTCCAGACTGGAGCCCATGGGTGGAACGAGCGTCTCAAACTTGATGCCGGTGCAGGAAAGGAGGAAGCTCAGAAGGCGTGCAGTGCAGCTGTACCGAGGGCTGTCGAATGCCAGATGCGTTTCCGTCCAAAGCTCTGCCTGAGGAACTTCGGCGCCACCGCCGTGCACAGCGCGATGCCGAGGAGGCTGGAACAGATGGGGAGAACGGGTTTTCGGGATTAGACAGTCGGATCCAGATCTTGGGACCTCGCACTACTGCATGGCATAGGAGGCTCCGATGAAAGCCACAAATTCGAAGACAGTGCACCGCAGTCATAGGCTTGACTCCAAATCCATTCTAAACCCGAAATTTCGAAGCCTTATAACAGCGTAAACCCAGCTCTGGAGGATGCCAAGCTCCGCGAGGCGCGGCGGCGCCGCCGCGCCGAGGAGGCGGTTCGGGCTTGGGAAGGTTTGGAGGGTGAGAGGGTTCGTGACAGGAGGGGCTCGGGGCTTTGCGGCTGTGTGGGGGTGACGCATGTGCCGCTGGAGGGCTATCGGGGCTGCTTAGGGTTTCGAGATTTGGGTCTCACAACTGGAGCGATGCATGGGGGTGCTAGTGGCACGCTTGTTTGGAGGCACACAGGCACCAGACACTGCGGACAGAGGCGAACACCCATTTGCAATTGGCAGCCTTTGGTCTAGTTGCTTGTGTGACCTGCAGTTTGGTTCTGGAAGCAACATCTCATGGCAGTAACTGCAAGACATCTCGTCCCCATGAACCCCCGCGCTCTTGATGCAGAACAGACTTGCTGGAAAAGGGGGGTCTGAATTTGGTGGGACAGGTACTCGTACAATGCTTCGCTTCATAGAAGCCCCGCTTTTGTTGAGGAGGCAGCGAAGAAGGAGCACGAGGAGGCCCAGCGAGCGGCTGAGGAGGACAAGAGGCGGTGCCTCGGCGCAGGGACGCAAAGCATCTGCGGTTTGCGATTTCGGGCTTTCTGTGGCCACGGCTAGAGTTGTTGCTGATGCCTTGGGATCCTGTCAGGAAGGAGAAAGAACGCAAAGAGCGTGAGAAGCGCGAGCGCAAGGAGAGGGAAAAGGCACTGGTTTGCTTGGCCGCAGTGGGTTTCGGGGTAACATTGGCAGCCATGCTCCTAAAGTCACGGAGGAAGTTGTGTTACATAGGTAAGGCACCCTCGCTCCGGTGCAGCAGTTTCGTTCGTGTAAGCTTGCTACGGTTCGTTCGCTGTACACTGCCCAGAGCACTGCGAAGCATCGCATGGCACTGATGCCTAATTCGCACCTCAGTGAACGGTTTCTTTCATCAGAAGAGCGCTGGGTGCACCGGTAGGTCTGTTTGTGTTGGGCTGGGTGTTGGAGGCCGAGGCAGCAGCACAGGCTCAGCGACGGCAAGAGGCGGGCATGTAGGGCTCACCCGCTCGCCCCAGCTTCATGTGCCAAGTTCCAGCATTTCAGCTGGCGGGAGTCCAGCGGCAGGAAGAAGCGAAGCGCGCAGCTGATGAGAGAAGGCGCCAGGAAGAAGCTGCACGTCGAGCCGCGGCTGGTATGTTGAGCTTTAGCACTGGGTGGAATGACTGGTTGAGAAAATCCAGCAGGTTCGGGGGCAGGTTTTCGTGTCTCAGTCAGGTTTTCTCACACCTAGTTTTCCGCTTTTTCAGTTAGGTTTTCAGTTAGCAACCTAACCCACGCTTGAAGACAGACTGTATCATGCCGTTCTCGACGGCGCGTACAGACTGAAGAAGGCGGATACATCGGGGTCAGATGCCCCGAAATGTCTTGTTTGAGATGGTTTGTTTTTCGAAATCATTGTTTCTTGCGTGAATGTAGCGAAATTTGAACTCTTGTGTGGTGCTGAAGTCTTTCAATCAGTATGTAAGTCATTCGATATTTGCCATTGGCTGACAGATATCGGCTGACGTTTGATTAGCAAATAGAATATTTTCAATGAACATGTAGTCGGCATTTCAATCAAGGCTTAATATCTTCATGCAGTAATGCTACCCGTGCTAACATTCGATTGATACTTACTTGATGTTCAGCACTGAGCTATACAGCTTTGTCTAGTTACTGGTTTAACAAGAGCGGGAAGAGTTGATCAGCGTGCGCCTAGTAACTAATTCAACCTTGACGTTCACATTTGTATATATCTTTCATCTATATATATATATATACATTATGCAGTTTATGTGAGCATACTGCGCATAGGTGTTGTACACAGGAAGCTCCTAATGCAACTAATATGTAATGGGTGTTCAGTGCATGCTCAGTGATCTATGACAGATGTCTAACATATTTTTCACCAATATGTATTTTTTTTTGCAGGCTGCGTGGTAGGTCCATTGGTAGCGGAATCCTTTCGTGGGCGTAGATATATGTATATATATATATACAGTTACATACATGCCTACATACATACATACATACATACATACATACATACATACATACATACATACATACACACACACACACATTGCACATACATATCTTCGAAAGCATTGGATAAGGTATGATTTGGGGTGGGGGGATCCTTGTAAATATTGTGTAGTTCAAGCAACAGTGTCCAGGTCCGCTGCTTTTTGTCTTCTCAGCCATCCCATCCCATCCCCTCCCCTCCC